TAATAATATTAGTAATAATAATATTAGTATTAAATCAAGGTAATGATTAAAAATTAAATACTAGGATAGAATTTCATTTACTATGGTAGAATGGTGGATCAAATATCTTGATTAAAGATAGCATTGTCTTAAAGCCATATAGGTAGGAGTATGAGAAATGGGTGAGAAGTTAATAAAAATTAGATATTTGTAATATTTATATTATATATTTTGTATATAAATTAACTAGCTTGCCTTAGAAGAAAATAAAGGGAGGTAGAAGCAAAGTATAAATTCTAGAGAGCTATTTTATAAGAGTGAAAGGAAAAGAGAAAGAGAAAGAAGCTTGGACCGGTGTAGGCAATTTTACCCGACTACGCGCAGACCGGCGGATTTATTTTAAATCCAAAAAGGCAAGTTATTATCTACTTTTCCCCTTTGAATTAATAAATTAATTGTTTAGCTTATTTTTATGCATAGAGCCAAGGTTAGGAGGTTAATAAATAATTAATTTTATTTTATTAAATTAATGGAATTTTAATTATATAGGATGGTATATATTTATTTAATGTCCTATGAAATTAATAATGGCTAAAAATAATTAAATAAGACTTTAGGGATTTTTCTAGAATTTTCTAGATTTTTCCGAGCATTTTCTGCAATTTCCGGCGACCTTCCGGCGAGTTTTCCGGTCGCCGGCAGTGGGGGAGACGACCGGAGTGATCCGGTGCGACGCGGCGCACCATAGGAGGGTGTACGCGCGCATCCTGGCCATTAGTGGAGTCTGATTGATCCGGTGCATCGCGGTCCATGATACCGCGGTACACCCGGATCTGTGGGTGTTGGATGGAGGGAAGATAGGGTGAGATGATCCGGTGTGACGCGCATGTAGGAAAGGAGATGCAGCCAACCAACCGGAGGACGCCGCGTCAGCAAGGCACCCTTAGTGCGCGCGTGGCAGCGCGTGCGCGCGCGTGGGACTCTCCAGACGCGCGTGGGAGCGCGTGCGGGCGCGTGGCTGATGCCAGACGCGCGTGGAGGCGCGTGGGAGAGTGGGAAAGCTTGGTTGCGCGTGGGGAGGCTCTGGGAGGCGCGTGAGGGCGCGTGTGGGGTCCCTACAGCTGCTGGAAATTACCAGAATACCCCTAGGGCCTGTTTTGTAAATTCCAGAACCTTAAACTTGGATTTTTAGGTACTGAGTTGGTATTTACGGGTTTAACGGGCCACGAAATTATTATTTTTATACCCGTTACTTATTCTTATGACCGATTAATCTTTTCTAAGCATTTATTGGCTCGTTATCAGTACGGATACTAATGTGGTTTATTTAACGACATTGTTAAATATAAATAGTGTTATTATCGTATTAAATGGTATCAAACATTACTGTTAAAATTAAATAAGGCCATGGTTTTAGTCAGATAAATTATCCATGATATCTTATGGGATGTTTATACTGTTAATCGTATATAAACCATGATTATTATGCTGTGTGCATTTCAGGGAATAAATGGACTGTTTATTATGTCGCATTTATATTATATGGATGTGTTGCCATATAGAACCATGTGAGCTGACTAATAAGTTTAGACTCATTTATACCTTATGCATTCGTTGCGATAGACAGATGTGTGGCTGTCGGGGTATGTGGTTTAATATTATTGGCATGTGTTGCCTAATTGACATACTCGGTATATTTATTAATATTATGGGCATGTGTTGCCTAATTGACATTCTCGGTATATTTATTAATATTGTTGGCATGTGTTGCCTAATTTATATGCTCAGTATATTCATCAGTACTTTGCGAGGTGTTATCACTGTGTAGTTCGTTATAGTCTGTGTTGTCAGTACCGTGCACCATGTATAATAGCTGATTTCCCGGGTAGGGAAAGGCGACACTTAACCACCTAGTGTGAGTCTAAGTGATCACCGTCTATTCTGGTTGAGGTCATGTTATACATCGGATAGTTCCCATAGGATGTATACAGATATAGTACTCATCCGATTCATAATGATTAATTTATTTGATTCTCTGATTTGGGTCATAGTAGAGAGGACTTGCTCGTGGGGTTGACCCACCATTGTTGTTATTTCAGGATACGGTCAGTATCCGTTTCAAGGCTGAGGTTAGCAGTGTGGGACCATCATCCGAACTCATCTACTCTTACGATCCAGTGCAGGGTAGAAGTTTTATGTAATACTTCAGTTTCAGTTTTCATTTACTTTTGACGTTGAACTCTCAGGGTTATATTTAGGGATCCTTGACATAGGATTTCCAAATTGTAATGAAGTACGGTATTAAATAAGGGATGGATGGATGTTGTATTATTTAGTGTTCATTTCCTGTCTAAATCCTTTTATTATCATCATTTTGTATTCCATGCTTGTATATTGCCAATTGTTTTTGATATCCCTCGTTTTTCGTGTATAAGCCTGATCAACTTATGCGTGGAAAATGTGGGGGTGTTACAGTTTCAAAACGAAATCTAAAGGCAAGTTTCATTCTCTCCTTCCTGTAAACTTGTGTTCTGTGCATTCTAAATAGACTCTAGGAATTTAATTAAAACTTTTAAAACAAATTTTATGCATATTAGTTTAGTCTGAAATTTGGTTAACGTATAATAACTGAAGATGGCTTTCCTTGCATAAATTGTTAGATTATGTATTAAACCTCTGTAAATTAATTCATAATGCAATGTGAGGTGTTGTTAGGATGGTTAGGAAGTTAATTAACCTTTATAATGGAATTTTGACACATGTGATCAGACTTTAGATTGTTCATATGTTAAGTTAACTGTGATTGGCGTTTTTGGATACGGTTTTGTTTTTGTTTTAGATTTTTGTCAATTAATGCATGCTGGATGGTGAGAAGTTTCTAGGGTGTTAAGAATTTAAATTTAACCCTAGGAATGTTAAAATACTTGGGACAGGAACGTCGGACTTCGCCGAAAACGCAGAAAAATCATCGGACGAAGTAGAGACAAGGCAGAGGGGCTCTCAGGGGTGAGAACCGGCTCCTAAATGGTGGGAGCCGGCTCCCATGAAGAGAGAGCCGGCTCTCCATGAGGGGGAGCCGGCTCTAGAAGCCTAGGAGCCAGCTCCAATAAAGGGGAGCCGGCTCCCATGGGAAAAAACCCCTACGGGGTGTTTTCTGCAATTTTTCGGGAGTTCTGGGGTTAAACGCAAATAGTAAAAATTAAAGGGGGTTTCAAATATGTTAAAATTAACCTATTAAGACCCTTAAATAGTTGGTTTATGCTAGGGTGCTAATCTTAAGGGGCATCAGGAAACAGAAACGTGGAATAGGCATGCTGTCAAGGAAGGATGAATGTTTAAATTAATAAGTTTGTTTTAATAACTTAAACTGACTGGTATCGAATTACTTTTGGGATGTTATATAAATTATTTATATACTTTAATGGAGGCCAGAAAGTTCGGTGTAGGATATGGGCATAGACAGTGTTAACTTAGATATTAAATGGTATGCTGTCAGGAGTGGTAAGAATTTTAGTTGCTAGTTTTGGTTTAGCGAACTAAATGAACTAGTATGGGAATACTGTTAGGGTTTCATATAATGAGCAGTTTAGAATTCAGAGTGTCATATTATATCAGGCACAGGTTTTGGAGTGGAGGATCAAAGGGACGTCATGTGGTGTAAATGCTAACTTTCATGCTGTTAAGGATTTGTGAAGGATTTCATTACTTGTCTTTGTTTTGGCAATTTAAATAATATGGTATGAGAGGATGGTTTGGGATATCTAGTATAATGTATTTAGTTCATATTTCTGGCTGATCATTATAACAGGTTATGGATGTTAATTGATGAACTGTTTAACTTCTGTTTTTATCAATTGTATGGATGTGGATAATATAAATTGTTTATCAATACTTTAACAATTTATTTGGAGGATTAATGATTATAATCATATACTGGATGCATAATAGGATCTTAATAATATCTGTTTTCTATTATGCTGGTTTCTGGATTTATTTGATGTTCTAATGAATGTGCATCGTTTATGGATCATTTGCATTATATGTACCGGTATGGGACGGTGACATATCAGGGATGGATTAGATCAAAAAGCTAAGTCCTACCCCTTCTTACATACGGAATAGATTAACTAAAATAGTTAACTCCTACATGGATACATGTCCTGTCAACTAAAACAGTTGAACGACATAATGGATGCTTGTTTTATCTTTCGGCATTAGGAAGGAATTTATATATATATTTATGGTACTGTGATACGAGCTTGAGTCTCCTGATCATGGTTAGGGTGCGTATATTGCAAAGGTTGAGTAGCTAGATATAGCTAATGTTCCCTGGTAGGTTTAGGTACTTGGCCGCTGAAAAACGTGTTTTATATGTCACCTTCTACCCAGGCTGAACTATGTTATAGGCTAATGAGCATCCTATAGTGTGTATTTATATATCTATGGACTATTGTAGATATTGCCGAGCTATCTAGGATGTATCTGCGTATCGGGTTTATGTACGGATTGTAGTAGGATGGAACTTGCATGTGGGCCTGACCCACATTTATTTTTTTCAGGTGTTCGTGAGTACCAGGCTTAGGGTTTGATCGTGGTGATGCAGATACAGTCACTCACTCTTCCGACTACATAGGATTTTTCTTTCTTATTTTGGTTTTGGATTTTAATTCTGTAATTGTGTTACCAGTTAGAAATATTAGGGGTCCACTAGATGGATTCCCGAGTTGTACGAATTGGAAATTTTATTTATATTCAAACTTTTATTTTGGAGGTTTTACAATTAAAATTCTTTTCAGCGTATAATTATTTTATTCTTAATTCAGTTTTATTCCTACTTGTTTATATATTGATTGTCTGGTATCCTTCGGATCTGTGCCCAGACTTGATCACCCGTGGTTCTAGAATCGAGGGGTATCACACAATGTATTCAGCCTCACAAGATGATAAAGATATGTAATTTTGCTTCTTGCTGCACCATAAAATAAGATTAGTACCAACATAAAAATAACCACTTGACGTACTCTTTTTATCATCCTTGTTTCCAGAGTTAGACTCAGAAGAATAACGCAATCCATAATTCAATGTACTATTGACATAACGAATAATGCGTTTGACTGCAAGAATGTGTTGTTCTCTAGGATCAGCTTGATACCTAGCACAAACACCTACACTAAATTGAATATCTGGCCTAGTTGCAACGAAATACAACAAGCTACCAATCATACTCCTATGCAAGAAATGATCAACCTTGTTAGGATCAGAGTCTCTATCCAATTTGGATGAAGTACTCATAGGAGTTTGAATATGCTTTGAATCTTTCATACCAAACTTCTTAACTAGCTCCTTTGCATACTTTGATTGAGATATGAAAATCCTATCATCAAGTTGTTTTACTTGGAGACCTAGAAAGAAAGTCAGTTCACCAACCATGCTCATTTCAAAAGTTTTACTCAAATCTTTAGAAAAAGTATGAATAAGGTTATCACATGTAACACCAAAAACAATATCATCCACATATATTTGAGCAACAAGAAAATCTTTTCCTTTCTTGAAAATAAACAATGTTTTATCTGCCCCTCCTCTTCTAAAGCCCTTGTGCAATAGATAAGAAGTCAACTTCTCATACCATGCTCTAGGCACTTGCTTTAAACCATAAAGAGCCTTTTTAAGATGAACAACAAAATCAAGTTTATGTGGATCAATAAAACCTTTTGGTTATGCTACATAAATTTCTTCCTACAAAATACCATTTAGAAAAGCACTTTTAACATCCATTTGAAACAATTTGAATTTAAAGTGACATGCAAGAGTAAAAAGAAGTCGAATAGACTCAAGTCTAGCAACAGGTGCAAAAGTCTCATCAAAATCTATTCCTTCAACTTGAGTATATCCTTGTGCAACTAATCTAGCTTTATTTCTCATCACAAGACCATGCTCATCAAGTTTATTTTTAAAGATCCATTTGGTCCCTATGATATTAATATCACTAGGTCGAGGCACTAACTCCCAAACATCATTCTTCACAAATTGAAGCAATTCTTCTTGCATAGCCATAAGCCAATCAGAATTTTAAAGAGCTTCATCAACATTCTTAGGTTCAAACTGAGCCATGTGACATAAGTGAACAATATCATCTACAATGCATAAGTGTCCTACATCATCACGAACTGTACTCCTAGTACCATGCTTATCCCATGGACCTATTACATTGTCAATTGGGTGACTCAATCTAACTCTAGAACTGCTAGATGTGGGAATATCTAGAGATGGTGCAAGAACTCCTATAGGTTCATCAGTGGTAACCTCTAATTCCTTATCCTCATTTTCTTCACCCTTTTCACTTTCTCCACCTTTATCCTCAACTTTTTCTTCTTCTTGAATTACAGGTTTTTTCCTTTCTCCTACAATTTCAAAATTAGTTTCTTCTTTATCAAGTTGAGAAGAGGTTATCTTAGATTTTGTATCATCAGAAACCACATTTATAGACTCCATGACCACTTTGGTTCTAGAGTTAAATTTTCCTAAGTGTTCCCTATTTCTAAGGATATAATATTTATTTTCAAAGACTCTAAAGTATTTAACAGTGGGCTTTCTATCATACCACAATTCATATGAAGTCTTGTTAGTTCCAGGCCTAAGATAAACTCTATTTAGGATATGACAAGCAGTACGCACTAATTTAGCCCAAAGGTGACTAGCAATCTTATTCTCTTGAAGCATAGTACGAGCCATACCTGCAATTGTCCTATTTTTCCTTTCCACTACACCATTATGTTGTAGTGTTTTAGGTGCTGAAAATTCATGCTTAATGCCATTCTTATCACAATATTCAATAAATTCCTTAGGTTCAAATTCACCTTCATTGTCGCTCCTAATTCGATTATTTCGATATCCATTCTCATTTTGAATAAGTTGGAAAATAGACCTGAAATTCACAAAAGTATCAGATTTTTCTCTCAAATATGTAACAAAAATAAATCTAGAAAAATCATCGACCATTACAAGCAAATATCTTTTTCCTCCAATGCTATCATGTGTTATGCGACCCATCAAATCCATATGAATCAATTCTAAAGGTTGAGTAGTGATTTTATGAATAAGTCTCTTATGTGACACTCTAGTTTGTTTTCCTAACTAACATGGACCACATATTTCATTCTTAGGCATCTTCAATTTAGGCAAACCTCGAACAAGATTATTATTAGACAAATTCACTAAATCATTATAATTCACATGTCCAAATCTTTTATGCCATAAAACAGCCTCATTAGTAACTACAGAAAAACACATAAGTAAAGGATCTGAAAACACAACATAGCAATTATCAGAAGTTCTAGTTCCTTTCAAGATACATTCACCTTTTTCATTAGTTACAAAACACCCTTGTTGAGTAAAATTGACTTGAAACTGCTCATCACAGATTTGACTAATACTGAACAGATTAGTAGCTAAACCTTTAACATATAGAACATTTTTTAACTCCCCAATTCCTGAAATTTTAATCTTACCTTTACCACTTACAGTAGAAACTTTACCATCACCAAAAGTAACAGTACCAACTGAACATTCCTTAAAAGTGGTAAACAATATTATATCCCCTATCATATGTCTAGAGTAACCACTATCAAAATACCAACCACATGGACCAAGTGCTATAAGTGCAGTATGCATAGCAAGACATTTAAAATTCTCTTTCTTTACCCAAACAATTTTAGATTCATTATGCAATGATTTCCCTATTGTTCTAGGCAAATTGTCACAAGGCTCAACAGTCCTATCCCTCTTCTTCCTCAAATTTGAACTCTCTAGATTTTTCAAATTCTTTCTAAGTTCAATTTTTCTTTTCTGACATTTATACTTAATATGCCCTTTTTCACCACAAAAATGACATGTTGAAATAAGTTTAGGAGAATTAGAAATAACACAAGGTTTGGTTTCAACTTCCACAAAAACATCCTTCGATTTTTTAAAATACGCATTCTTTGAAGTTGATGTCAAATCTTTATTACTCATAACATTCCCACCCACTCCTTTTAACTTATCAATTTTGCAAGTGTCAATATCAATTTTTTGAAAAGACTGTTTTGATTTAACAAATTCACTACTCAAATTATCAATTTTAAGTTCCTGTAATTTATTAAACAAATTTACCTTATTAAGCTCCTTTTCCAGAAAATCAATTTTATGAAGAATATTCAAATTCTTATAACCAATTTCTTCCAAATTTTTATTAGAGACAGAAACTTCTAACTTATAAATATCTCTATCAAGTTCCGCAAGATTCAATTTCTCTAACAAATTTTCAAAATCCTTTTTAAACTTGGACCACTCAATTTGCATGCTTATGACAGAATCAAACACAGGAGGTAAATGCAACACATCAACAACAAATAATCAACAACTATGATCTACTCTATATATCGAGTATCCCGCTCCAATACCAAATTGTAAAACAAGAGTTAGGCGGGGTGCGAAAACAATTAGTTGATTTTAATTGTGATTAACTCCTTTAATGACCTAGATCTAATGATAGGTCAACTTGCTCAATTATGATTGATTAAATTATATGATCAATTTAAACATCCACAATCACAAATATATGAACAGTAAAGCAAGTTAGAGTTAGAAAGATTGCACCAGGATTTTAGCGAGGAAACCCCAGTTGATAAAATACGCCAACTGTTATGGGAAAAACCTCGTGGACTATTTAGTCCAAAGTAAACCAATCCACTATGTTTGAAACAAAGTATACCGAACTTTGACTCTGGCTCACACCCTATTGTTCTACACCACACCAACAGCTGACGATCCTCTGGCTTTGCGACTCCCAATCCAACAGCAACTTGACCTCAGGTTTACACTTGATATTTATAGAAGAGTAGCAGGTAGATCAGACAACACTCCTCGAATGCTCCAACCCTTTCAAAGTGTGACTGCGTTAACTTATGTTCTTCAAGATCTGAATGCAATTGTAGAATAATTAAATCATGCTGATCATCTGGAATATCTAAATCTTCAATACAGCTCCAATTCCAATGAGATAGAGAACACTATAACTAAATCACTCATGAATATAAATGTGTGCTCTCAAAAATAAATTCAGAATAATCAAATTTGATTTTCTAAATTTTTCTCTCTCTAAAGGCTTTCTCAAAATATAGAATTGATTTTTCCTTAAAGCCGTACCTCAACCAATGTATATGACATGGTTTATATAGAGTCTTGAAAGTCCTAATCCCTCAGAAAATATGATAAATTTTGTGCATAGGACTTGGAAGGAAGTTGGGATAAAAAAGAAAACATCAGAAGATGGAAACTTGGAAACTTGATGCATCCAGGACTTCTTGAACCGGTTCAGCCATCTTGAACCAGTTCAAGATGGACAGTAAGGAATCCCACGGATTCTTGAACCGGTTCAAGATGACCAGTCTTGAAATTTTTGCAATTAAACTTGTTCTGAACCTTCCAGAACCTTTCCTAACTGTTCTCACTACCTCTCAACCTTCTTAAAGCATCGTTCTCATTATCTCAGAGTGTAGTATATCATGAACACTTGACTTTCTTCTTCAAATCCGCATCCGATCTTCAATCTTTGAAATTTTGAACAAAAAAATTACAACTCGATCGGACTTGTTTTGACAACGAAATAAGCCAATTAAAATATATATCTCACACGAGTTACAGAATACATGTCGAGTGGAAATTGGAAAAGAAATTGTGAAGAAGTGTACAGGAGTTCCTTTAGCCATTAGAGTTTTATGAAGCCTATTATACTCCAAAGACACATAAAATGAGTGGTTGAATTTTAAAAATAAAGATATGGCAAAAATAGCTCAAGAGGAAAATATTATTCTACCAATTTTAAAGTTGAGCTATGATTACCTTCCCTCGTATCTAAAACAATGCTTTGCATTTTGTTGCTTATATCCCAAAGATCATGAAATTGATAGGCAACAACTGATCCAATTGTGGAGTGCACATGGATTTATCCTGTTGTCAAATGAAAATGAAGATATGGAGGATGCTGGAGATATGTATTTTAGAAATTTATTAAGGAGGTCATTTTTTCAAGATGAGAGCAAAGACAAACTTGGTAATATAATAAGTTGTAACATGCATGATCTTATGCATGACCTTGCAGTTTAGTTACGGGAAGTGAGAGTTTGATGATGAATTTGGACGCAAAAGAAGTTTCTCCAAGAACCAGTCACGTGTCATTTGATTCAAAAATAGATGGTTTATCATAATGGAAAGTTCCAGCTCCGTTGCTTGGAAATATCAAGATTTGAACATTCTTTCTTCCGGCTCAAGGCGGAATCTTTTACCCTGATACCACTTTGATGATATATAGGATGAAAGATAATTCAGTTTATGCAACAATTGTTTCCAACTTTCAAAGGTTACGCGTGTTGGATCTGCCGAGTTGCATA